GAGTTTATAACCATTATTTATTGTGAAGCATTTTAACCGAAAACTGATTTTTACCCTACAAAGAGTAAAATTACAATGAACACCTCAGTCTAGGTTAAAATATAGCTGTAACAAATTCCACAGGTCCCAGCTGTGGAACATGGTGACTCACTAGTAAATTAAGTGAGTGGTTATAGCTACGTGTATCGACGTCAGCCACGGACTAATTGTGGGGAAAGCTGATTTATGTAGATTCAGAGCAAAATCAAAAGTTATAGTTAAGTAGGGAAGACAAGAAATATGCGATTTTACATGTATTTTATCGGATCAGTGCTAATTTATTGACTTTATATGAAATCTGATGTGTTTTAAAATATTCTAGATATTTTGTCTAACTACAATGTGTCAAATCTGTCCTTATTGAAAATAACTTGAAACCTGATGTGTTTTATCAAATATAGTATTTGTATTGCATATCTTGTATAAGTATGAATGTTTATTTATGTAACATGCATGTCGGTCAAATACTCGCCGACTTAAGATAAAAAAAAATCTTATCTGATCTTATCTCATGAACATTATGTAAGAAACACATATTCCATTGCATTACACAGTGGTCATGTGATTCATTTGTATGTGATGTCTATAAAAGTACAGTAAGATATGATAGTTTACCCATATGCATGTTAGTAAGGTATTTTACTCTTGTAGTAATTCAGTTAGGTCTGAAAGCTATAGAAATAAAGGAGAAAACTCATATTGATGAAATAAGATTATTTTTTTTGTTAGCATACAATTCTCTAGTGGTGGGCTGTAGATGGTGGATTAATTTGGACATTTGAAGCTTATCGCTTTTTCTCAGAAGGTAAGTACAAGTTAAATCTTTCTCAAATGTCTTCAGATTAATCCTTATAGAAAGCGTGAGGAATGTCTTTTGTACTCCTGTTTGATACACTAGTTGTCAATATGTGAAAGGACAATCTCACTTTGAAAGGACAATGGCAAAAACAGCAGTATAAAATTTTGATCTAAAGTTATCACTTGATGTATTTACTGTTGACATGATTCTCAATCTAACAGATAAGAGAAAATAAGACGAAAGATCAGTCTTAGATTGAGTTATAAAGGTTGTGCAATTGTAGGTGCCAACATCCCTTTGGATCTCTAGTTTTTCTGTTGTCCTTTCAATCTTAAACCTAATTCAACTATTTGTTATTATTATTTTTCAATTTTTATTGTTTTGTTATTTTTCATTTCAGAAGTTAATGCAATATGGCTGCAAGCTCTATGTCAGTACACTCCCATAATGCTACAGTCCTCAATGACCTTAAGATTGGAGACATGGTGGAGTTCCCAAGAGGCTGGTACTCCCATTGGGGTGTCTATTTAGGTAGGTGATACTGTGAATGGGGGCTGAATAGTATCTGATAGAACAATGTAAATGTGGATCAATGTAACATTGTGACATATTCCAGAACCTGTTCTCTTCCTCACTATCAACTCTATAGGTAATCCTGCTTGGAGTTGGTAAATATTTTTGTTACCAACCAGTAAGTGACAGCCTGGACACAATTTCATTGGTCAGACTTTTAGTCATGATGTAATGTAACAATGCTTTGGGCTAACATCGTCCATCTTGTCACATCGTAATCTTTGGGAATTTTCCTTGATCAGAAGCTGCAATGATTTTTTAAAGGCTAAAATATAGTTTTCTAGATCTACGAGATGAATACTTTGAAAGAGAAAGGTCCAGAAAGTTGTCATGGCTGGTTATCATGTTTATCCAAGTCCACGTCAAGAAGATTTGATTGGAAATTAAGCTCAAACATATCAGTGGTAGATTAAAACATGCTGTTGCAATATGATGAATACTTTACTTTGTAGTGCTACTGTACTGGAACAAAACTATATTTAACTGTTTTACAATTGTTGAAACACTATGAAGATAATGTTTATTGATTTGTTGTTGTTTTCCTCCTTATTTTTCTGGTAAGGTGAAGGAAGGATTGTGCACCTGTCTGGAGGGGACAATGATGGTATCAATGGGAACATCAACTCTGGGAGTGTATTTACTATCTGTGGAAAGAATTTCAGCAAAGCCTTCGTGACGATTGATGACTTCTGGGACGTTGTCCTCGATTGTAAAGCGATAAAAAACAATGGAAAGGACAGGAAATGCTCGTATGTATATATGTAGATAGGAAATATGTTGTATTGAAACCTTAGCTGTTGATGTATGTGGGGTTTTCATACTGCTATGGCTATTGAGAGATTACATCTGAAGTTTTGTAAAAGGTTATTGGGAGTTAAATCAACAACGCAGAATAATTTTGTGTATGGGGAACTCGGTAGAATGCCTTTAAGGTTCTAATTGAGATATCGTAGAATTATTAAGTACTGGCTAAAAATTGTATGTGGAAATGCAAATAATTTAATGCAATCTGTTTACAATGTTTTATATGATCAATGTGTGATGCACAATGTTTATAATTGGGCAAGCTTAGTAAAAACCGTGCTTTTTACACATGGTTTCGGTTATGTCTGGAATCTGCAGGCTGTTGGCAGTATAAATATGTGTATGTGTCTGTTTAAAACAAGAGTGAGCGATTTGTGGATTTAATTACATCATCTAATGTTGCAATTGTAAGAAATCTAGCAAGTTATGTTTTTAAGGCAAAAGAGATCAGAAATAATATAGTGATAATACTTTTTAATAATTAACTCTGGGCGACTTGGTATTCATTCTGTACGTGTTTCTGGCAACTTTATTCTAAATTTAGTATTTTTGTTACGCACATACTCAATTCCTTAAATATTTATTTGATTCCCGAGCCAAGTGTATACATTTAACCACTGTTTAGCATTGGTTAATGGCATCAAGAGTTATTCCCCATTGATCACATATGTAACACAACGGTTTTTAGGTACAAACTTTTAACACTATACAAACAATATGTACTTTCTTGATTGCTATGAAACACGTGGTAATGGATATCTGATTGCCTAAATATTGGTAGATTGAAAACAAGTCCTCGCACCTGTCGCTGCATGTATGTGTATTATACCAATTACAAATATATTTCATTGTCCATGTTCATGTTCCACTCCACCTGTACCACCTATGTAGATTGTTATTATGTAATGCACAAAGGCATTTTTGCCTATTGCTTAATAAAATATACATATTTAGTATTCTCACTTAAGTTTTTACATACCGCGCTCTGTTCCTACATAAACAATGTCAGTTTGTATAGTATATATACTGGTAGGCTGTTCTGATTTCAGGCCTCGTCAAGCACACGAGATGGTGCAGGTAGCCATGGAGAAGGTCGGAGAGATAGGCTACAATGTTCTATGGAATAACTGTGAACACTTTGCGGCCTTCATTAGATATGGAAAGAAGTGGTCAGAGCAGGTAAATGATAAATGAGTTAATGATATATTTTAATATGGATCAGGTAAAGAATTAACGAGAGTCTTTCTGTGGATGGAACAAGATAACCAGAAAACAGTGTCAACAGAACAGGTAAATTAATGTCAAAATCAGTTTTCTGTCTTCAAAACAGGTAAACAAAATTTATATAAGTGCTTTATATAAATACTTGGTTTTTGAATGTAAAATATTTTACAACAATTGTGAAACAAGTTGTTACAACTTATATTGATCACTCTTTGTTGGCCTGGAAGTTAATGCACTGGGGGTCTTAAAGTGGGAGGAAACCGGAGTACCTTGAGAAAACCCACTTGGTGGGGCAGGTGTATCCATATCTTTTCACGTCCTCCTTGGTGAAAGGCGAGTGTGATATCTACCGTGCCACCCAACCACCCGTATATGTTTAGGGGTGTAGCTGTTATATACACATTTGTTCGTTTTGTAGTATCCAGCATTCATGTACAGTTGTGTGAAAGCATAACACACCAAAATACTGGGTGCATTTAATTTAGCTCACTCATCATGCATGCATCGTCCATGCAAATTATGCCCAATCGTGCAATTTAACAAATGTACTGACTAGTTGTGTGCTTTTGATCACACAAATGTGTTGTTTTATTGGTTGATTAATACAAATGTAATTACAAAATGAAAAAAAATGTAATGCTCATATGAAATAAGGTAATTTGTCACACAAGTATCTAATTTCTGATCAGGATGTATTTTGCATATAATCAGTACTACTATAAATATTACACACTATTAAATTTACTGTATTCTGCGTAAACCTGGTCAGTATGGTCTTGGACTCTCTGGTACCTAGGGACTTTGGACTCTCTGGTACCTAGGGACTTTGGACTCTCTTGTACCTAGGGACTTTGGACTCTCTGGTACCTAGGGACTTTAGTATATACGTCTCTGAGATACCAAAACAGGGAGAGAGAACTTTTTAAGTGACTAAGACTTTGGATACGGACAGGCACGGACATATGTATACTATTTCTGTGAAAATGTTGATGAAATTGGTTTTGGGTTGGCAAAAAACTATTGTGTAGCCTACTAGACCTTTTTTTCTCACCAATCCGTCTTCAAGGTATACGTGTGCTCAGATCAAAATCTCTGTTCTGTTCGTAATGGTATCGGTAGTGATCGCTGATTAGAAAATTGATCTGTAATATGACTGTCATCACAACTTAATTGGACCGTACACGAATGTTTCTTGTGTTTGTACATGTTTTTGTTTTGGAGAATCTATATATGCATATATTTGTGTATAGTGTCCGGTATTATACATGTTTTTGTTTAGCGGTGTACAGTGTGGATATTTTGTGAATCATCACTCTGTCTTTCTCTCATAATCTCATCTCCACCACCTCCGACTCTTAATCTTTGTATTGATCTTGACAATGCCTGGTTCAAATAGAGTGTACAAATATAGTATCTTATTTACCTGTTCTTTTTTATATTTTAGGCTGATACTTTCTTAGCAGGTACTGTGGCAGTTGGTGCCATAGCTGTTGGAGTGCTGTTGTTGAAAAGCCTCTTCAAAGGTCCCGAGGATAACAAGGAAGCAAAGAAATAGTGATCAAAGGAAAAAAATCATTCATTGATTTAGAATTTAAGAAAAACAAGAATATAACATTTATCATTTACTTTAAGCTTGCCTATTAGAATGCAAAAAATTCTGTGAAAATAACAAACCAACTGACGATTTTATTTGATATTGTGATATCATAAGTAAGTGACTCAGAACATTACTTATAAGGTTCTATTGAGCTTTACATTCAACCAAGAATATTTCGCTCAAGGCATGTCGGGCATATGCCGTGAAAATGCTCAATAGATGTCAACACAAAATATTCTTTCAACTGTGATTCAAGAGAATTCCAAAATCACATCTGTGTAATTCCAAATTAAAGTTGATTACCTTACTTTTCAAATTGTATTTATATGATGGGTTTAACACAGTAACACCAATAAAACCTTTCAAATTTGTCTTACAATTTGGGGAGGTCTTGATCGTAACCAACGTTTGAACCCTGGTGTGCAGTAGGAGCTAAACTCCTGGCATC